TATCTTTAAAATGATATATTTATAAAATAAATTTTATAAAAGAAAATTTTATCCAGAAAATCTACAGATTCTAAGGATTATTTGTAATGTAAATCTTCTAGATAGTTCAAAGCTTTGGATTACTTCGATTTTTCCATAGGAATATGATTAAACCTGTGAGTTTCCTACAGAACTGTTTAGCCTATGAGTAAATTTCCTCTTTAATAAAAGTTAGGTTTACATTGGTTATAAATGTTTTCTAGTATGTTGTAGTTATATGAATTACTTTAATCTGTTCTTTCATTTTAAGTTAACCAAAAATGTATTAATTAAGCATATTCAGTGACATAGATAAGTTTCTGAGAGCAGGTAGCAAATACCGTGACTGCTGTGGATTTTGTGGGTTTAGAAAGAAAGAAGTATGTAGAGTGTCATGTAAGTTTTTTTGTATGTTGTGGTTTTGTTTTACAATTTCCTTGTAATTAGAAGAAAGGAAGTGAGAGGGATAAGAGCTAGTTAATTGAGGGTACTCGTTGAGTAAATTTCAGTTAATTGAAAATAGTCAACTTAATTAAACATTTATTTACTCTCATTTGGGCACAGTGCATAAGACAACAGCCCCGGCCCCAGAGTTATGCCAGTTAGTGTAGTAATAGAAGGATATATAAACTTTTATTTATTCATACATCATAAATTATTGAGCATCTACAGTACTGTGTTAGACCCTGTATGGACAGTGGAGGTACAGTGACAGAATATTTGCACCTACATTGAAAGAGTTTACTGGCGTGTCATAAACAAATTTTATATTCTCCCTATCCTGAAATTCTGAGACAACTAGAACAAGAGAGAAAACAGCAATAAGTTGACTCACAAGTTGGAAGAACTCAAGCCACGTTGCAGTTTCTGTATGAACTGGAATATTCTCTCAAACAGAAAAGGTTGAATCTGAATCTTGGTATTTTTCTGGAAATATCATTAGGGGAAAAAAATCAAAGTAATACTGTGATCTCTAGGTGCAGCCTGAGGTAGAGAAAAACAAGTAATCTGGGGAATATGCATTTTGGTGACAATCTGTTAAAGTACATAAAAGATTTCGGTAGCTTAAGCTTTACTGGTCTCGTTGCCTTAGTGTTAAATTAAAAGCTCCTTTTTCAAGCTCCCTGAACAAGGTGCTCTTAGAAAATAGTACTTTTTTTTTTATTCCTGACATGTAATTAAGATTTCTTCATTCTCTTCCAAGAAACTGTAACTCGTGTTTAATGCTGAGTGTACAGTCTAAAAAAAAGCTCTCTACTATCTGCTATGCTAAAATTTCAAAGGCTTGTAAATTAATGTAATGGTCATCATTGGTTTTAATGTGTGTAAGTTAGTGTATTTATAAGCCGATTATGCAATTTTCAAAAATTAAGCATAGTTCTGGGGGTGTTGCTCAGTGGTAGACAATTTACCTACCATGTTCAAGGCCCTGGGTTTGATCTTAGCACCACAAAAACAAAAATTTAGCATAAAAATAAAGCATAAAAGTAAAATTCTTTTTTGACCTATGATGTTGTCTTGGTTTTTTTTGGAGGTGGGGACAAGGTCTCTCTATGAACTTCAGGCTGGACTTGAACTCACTGTGTAGACCAGGCTGGCCTGGAACTCATGGCACTCCTCCTGGCTTAGCCTCCCAAGTGCTGAGATTACAGGCATGCACCACCATCCCAGCTCAATGTTTTCTTAAGCTGGATGTGATGGCACACTCCTTTTGTTCTAGCTACTCAGGAGGCTGAAGCAGGAGGATCATAGGAGCCCAGGTAGGTCAACCTGGGCAACATAGCAAGACCCACTTTTTTTTGTTCTAGGGATGTAACTTCGTGATAGACCTCTTGGATAGCATACACAGGACCCTGGGTTTGATTCCCACGTACAGTGAATCAATCCAAGGTGTAGAGGCTTTCATTCATGTTGAATGAATAAGGTGAAGTGGTTGGGTTTTTTTTGTTTGTTTGTTTGTTTTGAAGTGGTTGTTAATATGAGATGTATACATGATATGAGTAGGAGCATACTTGAGCTTTCTTGCTACCATTTTTTTCCCATACCAGAGATTGAACTCAGGACATTGTACTTGCAAGGCAGGCACGGCACCACTGAGCTACATCCCTGGACCTACTACCATTCTTCACTCTGTAGTGTCAGGCCAAGTTGATCTCTCCGAATCTTTTCTCATGTGTAAAGTGAGAATAATTGATACTTTTCACATAGGGTAGTTGTTAAATAAGTCAGAGGAAATGTCCTGTGTAGTACTTGGCATATAGTAGGCACTCAAAAGATGCTTGCTTCCAACAACTGTAAAAATTTAGATGCATACAAAGAAAGAAAAATTCAGAAATGTGAATTAAACCCTAAAAGTAAAAGTTAAAGATAGTTATAATTGTGGAGCTGTCAAAACCTTTATTTAAAATAATTGAGTCTAATTCTCTGCAATTTTAATTTGTGAAAGAAATGATTAGATAATGTTTTATGATTTTCTTAGTATGAGATAAGCCATTATAATATGAGAATAATGCAGGACTAACAGCTCACAGATTATGTAGTTTGGTTTTTTTGGCCTTGAGCGTCCCACTCACATATCCTCCAAATGATATCATTCAGTTGTGTGTATTGAAAATAATGAGTTACTTGTACATTGATAGAATTCAAATAGAAATGTGCTGTGCTGCTTCTGAGTAGGGGAATGTAACTATAGCCTTATCCCAAGGAAAGTAAAATATGATTGAAGGATGCTTAACTTCATGTTGTTCTGTTCTTAAAATAAATACTTTTATTTTGCTGTATTACTAGTTGTAAAGGGTGACTGTAGGAAAAAGTGTACATGCTCCTGATATCACAGAAATTGAAAAGATCAGAAGTCCTGATACTGGGTTGGGGATTTAGCTCAGTGGTGAGGCGCCTGCCTTGCTAGTGCGAGGTCCTGAGTTCGATCTCCGGTACCACACACACAAAAAAGTCCTGATATTAAATCTTGTTTGTTTGTTTGAGACAGTGTCTCACTTTACAGCCTTGAACTCACTGTGTAGCCCAGGCTGGCCTTGACCTCATGGCAATCCTCCTTCCTTAGCATCCCAAGTGCTGGGATTTATAGGTGTGTGCCACCACACCTGGCTGATGTTCAATCTTTGTTTTGTTTTGTTTTTTGACACGAGGTCTTTATATATAGTTCAGGTTGGCCTTGAACTCAATATGTAGCCCAGATTGGCTTTGAACAAACCTCCATCCTCCTGCCTCAGCCTCCCAAGTTGTGGGATTGCAGGCTGTTACATCTTTTATTAATCAAATTCCCATGGTTCCTGTGATTCCATGTGTGCAAGCGTTACCTTGCCTAACACATACTATAAAGCATTGCACTCTTTTTTACTTTCATGTTAACTCAGCAGCACCCTATTCACAAAAACCTGAATATATTTATATGTGAAAATGTATTCATATTTCCTAAAGCAATAAATTTTCTTAGGATAAAGTGCATTTGTTGCAGTCACCAATGAATCTTAACAAATAGAAGAGTTCATTTATAATCTCAGGCCAGATGACTATGTGTTTTTAGGGCAGATGTGTGCTTCTGCTCTTACGAATGTTGGAAATCAGGAATCAGGAAAGTGTTTGTAAAAACACAGTCATCTAAGTCAGGGGTTTTGGAGTCAGGCTGCCCAGTATCCTTGTTACAATGGTGCCTGCTTTGGGGTCTTTTACATCTAGTTTCCTGATCTGTAACAGGATGATAGTAAAAATATCACTGTCTCATAGGGTTCTGGAATAGTTTAATGAATTAATGTATTTAAAGCACTTAAACAGTGTCTGGCACATAAGGGCCCTAATACATTTTAGATGTTATAGTTGTCATTGTTCTGCAATGTGACATATTTTAATCAAATTGAACTATTCTGGGGCTGGGGATTTAGCTCAGTGATTCTGGCACCTGCCTCGCAAGGGCGAGGTCCCGAGTTTGATCCTCTGTAGCAAAAAAACCCCACAAAAAACCTGAATTTTTTATTACATCCTATGGAATGATTGCAGAGAATAATAAAATCTGCTGGGATAAGAGTGGCTTTATATTAAGAATACTAGAAGTGGGCCGGGGATTTAGCTCAGTGGCACCGTGCCAGCCTCGAAAATGCAAGGTCCTGAGTTCAATCCCCAGTATCAAAAAAAAAAAAAAAGAATGCTAGAAGGAATCTATACCTATTGTGTTTCCCTGTGAGCTACAAAGTGAGAGAATAAGCAGATAATAGCTCTTTGAAGGAAATAGGGGATTAAATATAACTTTAAACATTCTAACCAGACAGGTGCAATCGCTTCTATGTTTAAGTGCATTCAGTGACTAACAAATAATTGTTTGAGAATGAACAAATGTTAAATAGAGCAGTGCTAGTACTGTATCCAGTGTAGCAGATTTTGAAGAGCAGCTCTGCACATCAACAGCAAATATCACACAGTGGAACAGTGAAGCCTCATGCTCATTCAAGAGGAAGGTAAAAGCATAATACATTTTATAGTACTATGATTAAAGAGAGTTCCATCTTTTCTTTATTAGTATGTTTGCAGTACATGATGATTACATTCATTGTGGAGAGTTGGTACATGTACATAAGACATCTTAATTCTTTTCTTTTTTTTTCCATACTGGGATCGAATTCAGGACCTTGCTCTTGCTAGGCAGGCAGTGGCACCACTAAGCTAAATCCCAGGCCCATCTTAATTCTTTTTTAATTCCCTTCCCATCCCTCTGCCCAGGAGTTCTGTCTTAAACTTTAAAAGAGTAACCGACTTTTTTTTTTCTTTTCTATTTTTTTTTTTTTCAAGAGTATGAGAATTTATCAAGAGAGAAGGAAAAAACCACGTCAGGAAGAAGGCAAGCATACTTTAAATTAATATTGGTAAGTTGTTTAAAAAAAAGAATAAAGCACCGATCCTCCACATTTCTTATGTACTTATGTACTTGGGCCTTCCTCTCATCTATACCTACATGTTTCAGGTGGTCTTATTCACTTTTGCTGTTTTTTTTCCCTTCACCACTGCATTGCCACGTCCTCACTGAGGGCTTAACTAAGTAAACAGAAGGTGGTGTTTGGTAACAGATGAACAATTCCTTGTATATCATCACCTAACATAGTTCTTAATTCATAGTTGGTTTGTCATAGAGTATTTTGTAATAGTGCAATGGACATTATTATTGTCCTACACGTGAGGCCAGAGAGGTTAAATACTTCACCTATGATTACACAGCTAAGGAACAAAACTGGGATTCAAACTGTACCTATCCCTTAGGTTGCACTGTCTCTCGGTACATTTTATCCCTCACTCCTAGACTCTGCCTTCATTTGGTTAATTCTTAAGCCAAATTAGAATGATTGGTATACCTGAATATGCCTGTTTTCCCAACTCCCAGCCTTTTTATAGGATTTGAAACCTGATTTCCATTTCTAATTGAACATCTCTCTACATCTGTCTCTTATGATATCTTTCAAATTCTATATCAGCCTTGATATCTTCATTTTTCTGGTGGCAAGAAAATTTTCTCCCATCTAAGCTGCCTCTAAGTACAATTATGTACTGGTACTTTTCTAGCTAAAGCTACATACTTGGCAAAGACCTGCTCCATGGGGTATTTCTGAGCTATCTTGCACAATGGATCGCTCCATCCCTGTCTGTTGACTTTTGATGAAATCTTTTAAACTGCATTTCAGCTACAGGCAGAATACCCCCAAAAAAGAGTAGAATCAAGTAACTGAACTGGTTTCTTTTTTAACATTAAACTCTATCCAGAGACTCTGACTGAGGCCCTCGTCAGTGGAGAGAATTTGGGGGAACATTCTTTCTGGCAGACTTAGGTTGGAGGGAGAAGGTCACACTGCAGTCCTGTAATTGGGACAGAGCAGCTGTCTTTCTTGAAGTCCTTGCTGAACTGAGGGCTTTCCTGGAGGTTCTCAGTAACTGGAGCTGGTCTGATGAGCGGTAGTGAGCAGCAGTGGCAGCCCAGGTCCTGGGGATGGCAGGCGAAGTGGGGTGGACGTTCAGAGGTCACAGTGCCCTCTTCTCTGCCTTGCTGCTGTGAGCAAGCCATGGCAGGTGACCAGGGAGCATCCTCCAGAGTCTACCACATGAGGGAGGGAAGGCACTGATGCACTGCCACTGTCCCCTGCTGGGCTCCGGCCTCTGTGGTCCACACTATACACCAGCCCCGGGCTGCAGCAGGGTCCCCATGAGACTTCGGGCCGCAGGGATTCAAGAACCAGCTGAGGGACCTGTGCCAGGGTGTCCTCTGTGTGCTGCTGGGCGAGGTGCAGTCTAGGAGGGCAGGAACAAAGGCTCTGCGCCGAGTGTGGGGAGCTCTGAAGGCTTTCTTTTCTATTTTTGAGAGGGTCTTGCTGTGTAGTGCAGGCTGGCCTCAAACTCACGATGATCCTGCTGCCTTGGCTTCCTGAGTGGTGGGATTATAGGCGTGCACCACTATGCTTGGCAGTAACTGACCTTAAAAACTTTAAACATGCCAAGGGAGAGTGCCTGAAAATACTTAGTTATTGGGTACGTTTGAGAGGAAGAACCAAATTACTGTGTAACTAGTGCATATATAAAACTAGGGAAGAGAGGCCGGGGATTTAGCTCAGTGGTTCCGACGCCTGCCTCCCAAGCGCAGGCCTGAGTTCGATCTCTGGTCGCAAAAAAAA